ATTGGAAAAATAAGCTTGTGCCATTGGATCTAGGTTTAATTGAGAACAACGCCGATAGAGGCGCTTCACTATCATATTACTTATGACGGGACCTATAATATATGGAATCCAACATATAATATCTCGTGATCATGCCTATATATACAAGTTTCCGTGTGGCGCAAAGTTGTTCAGGTGACCAAGTCCTTTTGGAAGGTGCTCATACTAGTTCTGAACTAATACGTGGCGCTAGTGTGCATGCGATCTTCCTGCACAGGCTGTATCTTGAGATCCTGGCCATAATAGGCCATGTAAAAGTCTTCATGTAAGTTGTTGAGATGACCACGGTCTTCTGGATGATATCAGAACTCTCTCACTACGTGGCACTAGTGTGCATGTGAACTTCCTGAATATGCTATGCCCCTGAAAAGTCTGTCCATTTAGGATGATGCTTTGAAATGTGGGTATTTTTTAAACATGGATAATGTATAGCAGGCTGAAAATCGACGTTGGACGCCATTTTGTAATCCAAAATAGTGACCATCTGTTTTATAGCAAATTCGTTTATTATCGGTGAAACCAAACTTTTTATCAGTGCGAACCTCAACCTGAGCTAGGTTTAAAAACAAATGAGAAAATAAACGTTTGTCAGAAAACAAGCAGACCCAATCTGAATAATAAATGAATTCGCTATTAGAAAAACTGGCAAATACCCTTCAATATGGGTATTTTCCAAACAAAGAAAAAGTGTAGAGCTCGAAAATTCTTGGACGGCAATTTGAATCCTAGATGGTGGCCATTGATTTTTGAAATACTGTTAAATACCCGACAATATGTGTACTTTTAGAACGAGGACGACGTGTAGATGTCAAAAATCATTGTCCGCTGCCACGTTTGCGGTAGATTGATTGACTGAATGTGCAGGAGGATTAGGAAATTTTATTAAAACTTATTTAAATACAACAATCTAAAGTTCTGTGGAACAGGTTGGGTAGTCCATCACAAATGAAATAACGAAGCACTATTCTACTCAAGTTTTGATCATGGATTAGGATCTACCTCAGGAATCTATCAATGGTCCAGGTAGTTAATCGTTAACGTCATTAATAATCCTGCTATGAATTAAACCAGTCAAAACCTGCTGAGAATAATCTATTACTTCTTGAAGTACAATGTACCAAGTTCTCTTAAATTGTTGTACATTTAGACTATAGAGCAGTTCCACGTCATATTATAAATCTGAAAAAAAAACTCGACCTTCTCCAATTTGTAACCAGTTGGTTACAAACCATGGATTTTCTTATGCATGAGTTATTGTTGATTGGGAAAATTCACGTTTTGTTAAACCTAAAACAGTAGACATATACATAGCGAGAGGGCTGGTGCCGCTGCCAAAACACTCAAAGGATACTGAAGGGAGGAAAATCGTAGCCTTAACCTAAAAATGGACGCGCATATGCTGAAAAGAGGCTTGGCAAAATTGATTGAAGAGAGCCATCTAACAAATGGAAAATGAAGCAGAAGTAAACAGGCGTCCGTGTGAACAAGACCATAGTGAAGTGCAGTGAAATGGTTTATACCCCCCCCCCCCCTTTTAGGGGCTCGAGATGGAAAGACTGCCTCCGTTCAGGACCAATTGTGCTTTTGTACATCTTGTACACCTCGTACCGTATAATAAAACATTCTCAAGCGGCTCGGCTCGGAAGTCAACACGGCTTCTGAACCTGATCGCTAATGATCCTCTATCATCCATTAGATCTTATGATGGAATTTTTAGAGATCTAAAGGTTAGTTTTAATTATATCAAGGATGTTCTAACGACTTTATGGAAGTCCAGGAGCAGATCCAGTAACTTCTGGAAAAAATGCGAGAATCCTATAGAATTTTCGGAATCTTCAGGAATGTACAGAAAACTCCAGAGAGCTTAAGAAAATATCAGAAATATATCAAAACTTTAGAGAACTTCAGAGAACTTCAGAGAACTTCAGAGAATTTCAGAGAACTTCAGAGAACTTCAGGGAAGTTTAAAGATTTTCAGTGCAGTTCCATTCATTTCAAGACCGTAAGAAGAACTTCAGAAGATTAGAGGGAGCTCCAACGAAGCTCTGAGAACATCAGAACTGATCAGAGAATATAAAAGCAGAAAAAAAAAATTTGAAGAGGTGTTCCAGAATATTCAAATTCTTTTGCAAAGATCTGAGAGTTTCAGGAAAATGTAGGAAAAATTAAGGAAGTTACATGAACTTCAGGATAATATCAGTTTTGTGAACTTAAAAAAAATACAGGAATTTCAGCGAAGATCAGACAACTTCAAGACAGTTCCATTAATTTCAAGAAAATTTCGACAATTTTTTAGATGTTCCTAAATCTTTAGGAAAGTTTAGAGAACTTCAAAGAATATTAGAGATTTTAAGGAAGTTACTTTATAATCATGGAAGTTTTTATCGCATCGAGGATGCAAAGAGAACTTCAGAGCAGTCCCATTGATTTCAAGAAAAAAACAAGAACTGTCAAGGAGCTCCGAGGAAATATGAGATACTTATATTGCATCACCTAGAAAAGTTTAGCATCGCCCAAAGAGAATGTCTATAACGGGTGCTCAATAAAAAATGAGAATGATTTCAGTGCAGTCCAGCGCTCGTGTGAGAGCATCGCGACTAAGTTGCGTCGTACGGCTGACCAGGGTCCCTTCTCCAATATTCATTGACGTTTTTTTTTTGAAGAATAAACATTATATTTCTAATAAAAAATACTGAATTCGTTGAATTTATTTTTTTTACAAGCTGTGTGACTGAAATTTTTTAAATTTTTTATTGAACACCCGTTACGTGGGGTGATGCTAAACTTTTCAAGGTAATGCAATATATAATATTAGTGTTGCAATACTTCTTCAAGCGAGTCCATACTTATGACCGGGAGTGTACATATGCAAGTAATTTCTGATATTGTTTATAAAGAAAGAAGGATTAATTATTTCCATTAAATTCCACTATTAGTAATTAATTACCCTTGACAGATCCACGTATTTCATCTACAATGTGTTTACTTCTTCAGTGTCTTGTACTAATCCTTAATTATTAGTTCAAGGCACTAAGAAGTTTGCACAGTGGTCCAGAATGCAGATGTAGGTGAAATGATATGTTTTGAGCCTGAAATTGAAACTTTAGACTAAAAGTCTCTTTTACAAAGTTGTTTCTTATAGTTAGGCCCTCATTTTTATGACAATAAATTCTAGGGTGGTTATTATTATCATTAAAATCAAAAATCTAACTTTTTTGTTTGAATAAATTAAGGTATATATTCTTCAACAAAGTTAAAATTAAGCTAATTTCAAGCAACTTTGTTGAGAACAATTTTTTTGTATCTCTTAAATTGACCGATTTAGAACTATTTTCTTGAATTGAGTTAGGGTGTCTCTAATAAAAAATAGTTGTGTTGCTCTAGTTTTCTTATTTCAAATTTCTCAGCAAAGGTGTCTTGAAATAACATTTAGATCCTTAGAAGACGCAAATTTTTGCTTCTTAGAGCTTGTCGATATCTTTCGCCGATCAAGAGTTATTGACGTTTTTCTACTTAAAATATGCCCTTTTCAAATGTTAATAGTTTTGATTGCGGCAAAAAAAAAACAGTTTTTTTACAGCATTTTAAAGGGCGTATGTTATTCCCAATAATATGAAAAAATTGGAGGCATATTATTTTTCAAACTCGTGTAAAATCAATTTGAATATATTCATTTTTTTTTAATATATTTGGGTATACCTTTTTTATTAGAAGAGATAAAGACAGCAATAAAACATTTGTCTTAAAGAGTTTTAAAAGTCTCTAGAAGATGACTTTCACGAAAATTTAAAAAAAAACAGTAAGTGCTAAAACCTATTTTTGTTTCAGGAACACTCTAAGTCATCTCCGAAAAATTACTTTAAAATGAGAACGTTAAGAGATAGAAAAAAATATCTTGAAATCAACTTAGCTAAAACTTTTTCAAACAACACATGTTTTAATTTTGTAAAATAAAAAAAGTTACTTTAAAAAATTCTCTAATTTGAAGACCCCCTTGAAGTTTGCAAACACCAAACGAAGGGAAGTTTTAAGTGTGAATAAATTCAAATTGATTTAATACGAGTTTGAAAAATAACAAACCTCTATTTTTTCATATTATTGATAATAAAATACGCCCTGTCAAATACAGTTTTTTTTTTGTTTGACCCAACCAGAGATATTAACATATGAGAAGGGCATATTTTTAGTTGAAAAACATCAATGACTCTTGATCGGCGAAAGATATCGACAAGCACTAAGCAGCAAAAATTTGCGTCTTCTAAAGATCTAAAAGTTATTTCAAGACACCTTTGCTGAGAAATTTGAAATATGAAAACTAGAGCAAAACAACTGTTTTTTTTTAGAGACACCCTAACTGCATTGAAGACGAAATACGCGTATCAGTCAAGGCTAAGCAATTAAGGTAGAGGAAATAATTTGAAATTACTAATCCTTGCCATATTCTGTAAGCAGGAAATTCCGGAGACGAACCAACCCAGGGCTGAAAGTCTCCTTAATAAAGATATAAAAAAATATACAGGAATTCCACTATAGAAGCTCCATGCATCAAGAATTTCTGATTTTCAACTCAAACATACCAATAAACGGGCCTCATAAGGAAGCAACCCACTTTTTAACCCGAACTGACCCAGAAGCCCATCGGAATGAGTATGACCACAGGGAAAAAACAAATATTCTGATATTTTTCCATAAAACAAGATAAAGTTCGCCATTTGAACTGAGAATTTCTTAAGATTACTTCGAATATTGAGTGAGTGGAGATATTTTGAACTTAAAATTTGTATGTTGGACCGAAGTGGGTTAATGCCTGCTCTATTCCTCGTATGGACTAAGAAGGGAAATTCAACCCCCTATTGGATGAACGCAAATCCAGCATGTATATTAACGACAATAGTTTTCTCTTTATTCAATAGCTAACTATCACTAAATTAGTTGTTATCAGTTCTAGTTCACAATTTAACTTAGTACTGGTGATTCTTCGAACTGGTATAGCTATCACCTCCATAGTGATGAGCGGTCGGGGCCGGCACGTAGTGAGCTGGTTGATGCACCTTTGGAGCTGGGCCATGTCCGCCAACTTTCTTAACCTGGATCTGGATTCCTCCATGGGCATCGGATTCGTAATCAACAACGCGATGACCACCATCGGCTTCATCCAGGGTGTACTGTCCCTTCACGTGGTCTCCGTCGCGATGCTCCCATTGGGTCTTGTGGTCACCGGTGTGGCCATCATTAACTCCATATTCGAACTTGTACTGTGCGGGATGATGGGCGTCCTTGTGATCGTAATATTCTGGTTCAGCCACCTGCTTATATGGCAGGGCCGCGGCAAGAGCAGCCAAACAGGTAACGGCTAGGATGATCTGCAAAGAAATCCAAACAAACGAGAGTAAATTGATGCACAGTTTATTTGAATTTATTGGACTGCTTTGCTTTCCTACCTTGTACATTTTGGACCAACGGATTGATTTTTTGTTTTGCTTGATGAAGCTGATTGGAAGCTGTGAGCTGACTGATGATAGGTACCGATGATCCGTGAATATTTATAGCAGGTTTGAGGTGATTGATAAATGCGATCAATTTGGATCAATTTCGCCAAAACGATCGCAATTTGACATCACATGTGTCGTTGGTGTTGCATCTTTTGGAAAAAACCTGCGTGATTGGTCTCTGATGCAAAGGTTTTTGAGAGTCAGCAATTGATGATAGAAAGACTGAAGTTTTTCCTTTGGCATCTAAGGTTTAAAAAAATTGTAAATCGTAAATTCAAGGAAATTGTTTAATCGAGCAAACACGACTAACAATTTGTCTCAATATACAGAGGCTTAGACTGAATTTGACAATGAAGTAAGAAGATCAAATCGTAAAGATTGGAAGTACACCTGTGACATATTGAAAGTTCTCCTGTTACTGCATTACTTCAAAAAGTCAGATGACTCCTTTACTTCAACTAATAAGGAAGCCATTGAAGTGATAATGCAAGCACATTTTCCAGGTTCGCTTCTTACTAGTGAGCGTAATATACACCCATAATTACTGTTGGACAATGAAGAATCAACTAGCTTCCTTTCTGCTTTTTGTATGTATCAGGAATGCCCAACATAGATACTGATAATTTAGCCAATACACAGTTTTGCTCATTTGGACCATTCAAATCTTCCGGTTTGGACGGATTTATACAGTGCTTATTTAAAAAACCAAGAATATAATAATTCCTAGTCTAGTTAAACTATTTAATGCGAGTTTCTTTTATTAGATATATTCCTGGCGGCAAGTCCGAGCAGTATTTTTACAAAAAGCTAGTTAAGTCTATTAAGACAAGTCTTTTCCCAAATCATTTGAATCAATTATTTGGTCCTCAATTTACTTGAAATTGATGAAGAAACTATTCGATGAATACATAAAATTTGAAATTCTCCAGAAAATATCTTTGAACAAGACTGTTTATCAGTAAGGCAAATCAACTAAAGCAGCTTCACATACACTAGTTACATTAATTATAAAATCATTCGAAGCTCAAGAAGTGACGATGGCAGCTTTTCTTGATATTGAAGGAGCGTTTGATAATGAGTTTGAAAATATCATGAGAAAACGAAGGTTTAATGAAAAAATAATTGAATTGATAGCAGAGGTGCTATCAAAAAAAGAAAAATAATTATAAGAAGAAGAGATGACTAAAGCTCTTGGATATATATTTTTTCCTTGTTTTGTTTACTGAGTATCAATGATAACGACGTCAGGAAGGCAGCTCTCACATCTGGAACCTACCTTTTGACCCATCAGCTAACAGACCGGGGACCAACGGCATTTCTTACCCTTTCTAACGAAAGCGTTATCAGATAGGTGATAGATAGTCACGCTTCCCGAGCAAAGCTGAAGCTCAAATTGAAATCAAAATTTGCTGTTATGATGTAACTTATTTTGAATACTCTAGTTGATCTCATTTTGGTTGACTTAACGGTTAACACAGCAAAAATGAGAGCAAAATTTTATACTGTTGAAGCAAACGGAAAACTAATCCTGCTTTCAATAAAATCAATTTGATTACTCATTTTGCATTCATAATGTTTAACTGAATACGGGCCTGGCATAAATGGTTAGCATCCATGCTTCTCTCGCTGAAAGACTTAAAAGTTGAATAAGTCAAATCTCACCCCGGACAAGTCAGGAATGACCTAAAATGTGTTAAACTAAACAAATAAACAAGAATCATTAGTTCAACAACAGATGAACTTAAATTAAATTTTAAACAAGTCGTTAAGAGCAGAACTTCAAGTTAAGTTGCTTTGATTTAAAAAGTTTTGACTGCATAATGAAATCACAATATGATATCAGGCTTATGTCGCGACAATTGAAATCAAAATGAGTTTTCATTATGATAGAAACTGCAAACTTTAATATCTATTTGCTTTCATTTTGTTAACCGACTTTGCTCGGGTTACCACTATACTACCGGCGCCGCTCTCTTGGATACTTAACAATAAATGTAATAGCTCCTACTTGAGCTTTGCTACTTGTCCTTTCTAAATTAAAATAAATCGGTAAATTTTACGAAACTGTCTGAAAGAATGCAAATAGCATTTTGGTGTAAAACTGAAGGATTGTATATTAATCTTATGAAAAGTCTTTACTTATAAAATAAAATGAAATAGATGCGAAGCCATGTTTGAGTAAAAAAGACCTGCTTCGAACCTAATTGGAGTTGGGAACAGGCATGGCAAATCATTTGCATTCATTTCGTGCATTCATTTACATTCATTTGCCCCTAACTTTTTTCATCAATAGAATTCCGCAAAATGGTGTATGGAGCTTTTGTAGGTTTTGTTATAAGCTACAACTTTTGTGAAAACTCAAATCCGTATCTCTTATGCATGATGAACCAGAGCAAACATAGTCCACTACTGTTTTTCAGTGAATGTATTTTACATTCACTGAAACACAGTAACGAGTTCTTCCCGCTCTAATTAATGATGCATAAGAGATACAGATTTAAGTTCTTAATAAAAGTTGGAGTTAATAACAAAACCTACAAAAGCTCTTTACATTATTCTGTGAAATGCTGTTGATGAAAAAAGTTAGAGGCAAATTAATGTAAATGAATGCATGAAATGAATGTAAATGATTTTCCATGCCTGGTTGGGAATGCATCCATTTACGCCGTATACGTTAAAAGCAAATAATAAAAAGATAAATTACGATTATACGAAAAATTAGGTCGACTTAAAGTTGATATTAATTCACTAATATTCTTGAAAACGTAGTTAACCTCAACACTTACCGAGATTTTACAGGAATTTGTTTTCTTATATGAGCAACATCTCGATGTACATATGAAATTAGTAAACGGAAAAAAAGGTTTCATGTAGTTTCCATTGACAATGCATATTACGTTTTTCCATTAACAAAACCGATGATATCTATCTGAATTTCACATAACATTCATGTGATCACATGAGTTCAATACGATAAATCACTTAAATTTCATTTGACACATAAGGTTCATGTGATTTTGTGGTGCAATCCCCAATTATCATTTCATGATAAAGTTTTGTGAAATTCTAATGAATATTTTCCATTGGATGTGTGTTTTCATCTTTGACTTTTTTTTTCTTTATTACCGTGATTTTTAGCCGTAGGCTATTTCATCACGTTATATAGCAGATGGTCAGGCTAGATCTTGCCTCAACAAATAGGTTTCAATTTGACATTAACGTGACGTATAACTGGCTCTGATTACCCAACGAATGAGACAGACAACATTTAAAAAAACTTAATGTAAAGTGAGGATTACATGGGGGCTGTGGTGAGGACTGAGTGCGCGAACAAGGTAGAGCTCCACCGTAGGAGACAGTGCCCCGTCCGGCGAAGAAAACCCGAAGGCAAAAAAAAAGAAAGGTGAAGAAAACACGATCAGTGCAGCCACCGACGGAGGGCTAGATTCGATTATACAAGTGGGCGTCCTTCAGAAAGGCGATCAGCGCAGCCAACGTCGAGGGGTCGTAACCAAGCAGATTCTTAACGTTCTCCGGGAGTCCGTGTTGTTCACGTAGCTTCTGGAACTCCGGGCAGACACACAGCACGTGTTCCACCGAGACGGGGATGCTGCAAATTGAACAAACCTTGCGGCAAGGTGTCCCACCGAAATTATACGAAATCCTCGCATGGCCGGAAGTCTTGAGATGATCCGCTGGTCCTTGTACTTTTGGCTGTCCAGCCAGAGGCGTACGGTTTCCTTGATCTTCCTCAGGAAAGTGGTCCGCGGCTGGAACCATTCATGCTGTCAGGCTTCCATAATAGTATTCGCAATCCAACGCCTGACGTACGTTCTTGGTGTAGCGGGGACGGGATACACTAGATCCCACCAGTCTGTCCGCAGCCTCATTTCCGGGAACACCGCAGTGTCCGGCGATCCACGTAAGTACGGTTGAAGGTGGGGCGTACCGTGTAATGGCTTGTATCCAGGGGTGGCTCGGGGCTTCGGCTTCCAGCGATTGGATGACGCTGTGTGAGTCAGTTAACACGAGGATCGGTTGATCTGCCGGAGTGATGGTTGCGGAAAAGACGGAGCACTCCTCCGGTAGACTTTACCTCGTTGCAGTGTTCGGTTCTGCCACTCCGAGTCCAACTCCAGCCTGCGACCGCGATCTTTCCGTAAAGCGATGAACGTGCCCCGGATAAACCGACCCGAGAAGCTCTGCAACAGAACGTCTCAAAGCTACAGAGTTATCTTCGGCTTGTAACCCACTCTTAATCCGCTTATCTATTTTGACGACGTTTGATCGCCAACTCTTCTCCCATGCCAGTGGACCCTTGCCACCGGGGGGAGATAACGGTTGGCTGCAGTGCGGAGGGCTCTGTTCTCCTCGTTGAGGAGAAAGACCCTTATATTATTTGAGTGTATATTGCTAGAATACGTAGATTTTTTGTCGTTGTTTGTCACATTCGAAAAGATTTATGAGGCTGGGAGGCTGAGTTTTCTAGAGTTTGAGTTATTTAAACTTAAATTTGGGTCGATATGATGTGCCATGTAGTGTGGAAATCCGTTAGCCACTTAGTACTGGTCCTTTTGCACTACATCAGCGGGGGAACGAGCACATCTTAGTGAGAGATTCAACTTTCCACCACCTAAATATGGGGAAATCGACAATCAAAAAAGCAATCTATGAGCTTATTAATACGATTCTAAGCACTTCGTGCTCAAAAAGTGTTGATGAATCACGATCAGGGTTGCTGAAACGATTCAAATAGGAAGGAATATCGAAATAAAGATAATCGAGAAATGTAGAGTACTGTACAACGAAGCCAAGTACGATGAATTGGCGCTAAACACTAACACTGTTGTTACGATTTTACAAATACAGTTTTTAATTAGATATATCAAGCAACATATTAATTAGATTTTGCAAAATAATTACACACCTGGGGGAGAAAAACTTCTCTAAATACAAAACAATTAGCTGATACTAACCTTTTTGCCTTTCTCGTACAC